AGATAGACAGATAGACAGATAGATGATAGATAGACAGACAGATAGACAGATAGATAGACAGATAAATGATTGATAGATAGATAGGTAGGTAGGTAGATAGATAATGGATGGATGGATAGATAGATAGATATCAATTAAAAGTCATTGCCCTGCATCGAAGTCTTTCACTTGTGTGCATTCAGCTGCTGGTATGCCTTCTTCTCCTTCAGGCCCGAGCCTTCAGGGTATGCCTTCTTCTCCTTCAGGCCCGAGTGACTGCCAGTTAGCAGGCGGCCAGGCTTTTCTAAGAACGGTGCAGGACCTACTGTTGGATCCCACCAGTCTGCCTCAGCTCTCCAGTGTCTACATCCCACAGTGCACCCAAGATGGCCAATGGAGACGGGTCCAATGTGACGGGCCCCCGGAACAAGCGTTTGAATGGTACCAGATGTGGATCACCCAGAATAATAATGGCAGACCTCTCCCTTTGAGTGACTTGATGGACATCCTTCTTGACGACAAAGAAAGATCCAAATCGAGCTTTGAAGCCTTCATCAAAGCCCTCTACGGCTCTGGCCACCAGAATGTCTTCCCGGTGCTTTCCAGATTCCCTTCCTTCGAGGATGTTCCTCCAGCGGTCCGGGAAGGCAACGACACGGAGGCTTCCTCAGAGAACGTCCTGCTGACGCCATTCACTTTCTGGCAGCTTCTTCAGGGACAGCTGATCCATTACCCAGGGCCTTACAGTGATTTCAGCAACCCACTCGGGCATTTCGACCTGCGCAGTTGTTGGTGTGTGGATGCAAGGGGACAAATGCAAGGAAGCAAAGCCGAAGTGAATGAATTTCCAGACTGTGAGTAATTGGCTGAAGTAATGGACAGTGCAGTTCTCTGCAGAGCTACTGCAGTCTGAAATCGGTGGGCTTAGATGGCGTGGGATTGCACTGTGGTCCTTTCACGTGGCACTAAATTGTGCTGTGTTGGCCTAGCGAAGTATATTCAGTGTGGTTAACAGCAGGGGTCATTTTGCAAAAAAAGAGGTGCAGGAGCTCATTAGCAAAACTCATTAGCATAACTTATTTGCGTATGCCACACACCCCTGACAACACCGGAAGTGTGTCAGAAGGCAGCACCCACTGCTCAGGCTCCACTGGACTGTTTTGGATTGCTAGCTATTGGGGGGGGGGGAACGTGCAGATCTGTCCTCGCAGAGGAGGGAGAGCTTGTACCTGAATACAACTTGGTCT